TAAAGGCAAATCAAACTAACAAATACACAAATCGAAAAGAATTATAAAATAAAGAGAGAGACAACGAATAAAGACAGAAAAGAACAAACTTGAGACAACAATATAAAAATCCTACTCGAAATCAATATAGTAACACAGTACACTAACATAAATAGACAACACAAAACAAATTGTTGTATCACCATAATAATTGTCAAAAAAGCATAGAAAACATGGAACATTAACATTAATAGAAATCGATTCTCAAAACAAGTAAAATCAATAAAAACCTAAACCCTAACTGAAATTCCGAAGTGCACAAAAGTTCTTACTTGAGTTGAAGTCGAGATTGTGAACGAAAATGCCCTTGCAATCTGAGATCTTCACTGATGAGTGTAGTTAGAAGGATGGAAGCTACTAAACCCTCTGTAGATCGTGAAAAAATTGGAAGAAATGAAGTGTTTATTTGGGTTTTAGGGTTCTCTTAATTAGATGGGTTTTTTTTGTATTGGGTAAGTAGGAGCGGGTTTGATAACATTTGGGGCGGGTTAAGTTAAAATGGGTGGGTAATGGGTGAGTTTAAAATTACAACCAATGGTTGAGTGCCACGTAATTAAAAGTATTATTTAATTATTTTAAATTGTAATCTGTTAATGAAGGGGGTAAATTTGAACCCAAAGGTGGATGGGAAGGGTATTTGGGGGCCAATAGGTGGATGGGGGGTAATTGTGTACCATTTCCAATACTTCGAGGGTATTTTAAGCCCTTTTTCTTTGATTAAAAGATTAGATAGTTCAATGATTAATAAAAATTCGATTGATGTTTACTTAGATCACAAAAAAATTGACCACTTCCTCTCCACCACAATTGATTAATAATAATAATAAAAAAGGACTTCATAGTTCATATAAAGATATAGAAACTAACAAATCTTTATAAATACTCCGAACAAATTTGAAGATGGATAACTTTTGGAGCTAAAATTTTTGGAAGATGTGGCCATTTAAATAAACATGAGTTGCTCAGATGGTAAGCACTCCAATAAAGAGAAAGAGAAAAAAAGTTTTTTTAGTAATAAAGAAATAAAAAAGAAAATAATACTTACTCAATTAATAAAATGCTTACAAACATAAAGCATGTTATTGAAAATCCATTTATATATTTCAACTTTTTTTAAAAAAAAATGTATTTTTTCCAAATATATATATATTAAACTTAAGTATTAAGATGTCCAATTTCCCCTAATTTTAGGGTAAGCTCTATGGGTGTGTACCTCATATCAATATATACATAATGCTTTCAAAATAATAAATATTATTAAATCACATATAATTTTGAGGTGTAATTGCATGACGTGCAATTTTGAATTTTGAAAAATTTAATAATAAATATATAACTTAAAAAATTAAAATCAAATATTTAACAATGTAAAATCAAATTCCGATAAATGTCATTTCATTTTTTAAGTAAAATCCAGCTAAACCCCAAAATTCAAAACCCCTCTCTTTACAAAATAGAGTCACAGTCACAGATAAGGAAGGTATCCACATTTCCCCTTCCCTTCACACTCTCCAACTTCGTTTTCTCCGGCCGGCTGGCGGGAGAGAAAAATGGCGAACATGAGGACGGCGATGGATGCAGCATTCTGGGACCTCAACATTTCTACACCGAGAACCCTAGACGGGACGGCTAGGTCCATTCCAGGGGAGCCCATACCACTTGATAGAAGCACAGCCAGTAAAGCTCTCAGAATCCAACAACTTTCTCTTCTCGGAAATGGATTTCCTCTCGGAATCATTCCCTCTTACTCTCCAACTTCCCGGAAGGAATTGGGCTCTTTTGCTCTTCAGTCCCTTTTGTTTAAAGCTGCTACTTCTAACTGGTAACTTACTAACCTTTTCCGATTATAATAAATCAAATACACTAAGAATTAAATAAATTTGATGCGTATCACATATCCAATACACATGAAGACATCATTCACAAATTTGAAACAATGTTGAAAGTGCTGGAGTTTAACAAACGTGCCATGATCAAAAGTTCTGGGCTATTTAGAAAAGGTATGGAAAGAAATGGAGACGGAGAAAGAAAGAATATCATTACTATCTCTTTAGCATCCCAATTATGGTGCTATGCCGGTATACGATGCACCCCATCGGCGATAGTCTCCATATGATTAAGTATGAACAAGCTTCTTCAACAAGTACTATGACCAGAGGGTAATCGTTAGGGCTCTTAAACGATTGAAGAAAAACATATATGTTTTTTTTTAAAGTTGTTGCATGTTGGGAATTTTAAATATAGTTTGCTCTGTGTATGGCTTCCACAATGTTTGGGGCAATAGAAATTAGAATAATGTCAATAAATTAATTATTGATGTCGAAGCAATAGTAATCCACCTCAAATGCTCTTCATGTGTCAAGAAATATGAACATAGAAAATCATTTCTTCTTTATGAATCAAAATTCCATTCCAAGTTCTTCATGATACCTTCCAAAGCTAGTGTAGAATAATGGACTTCTAGACCACAAACATCAAATATCTGGTAGAAATTAGAGCTTATATATTTCAGAAAGTTAAGCATTTCAATTACATCAGAAAATGACTTGTAATCTTTATTATGACCGCCTTTCATTGGTTGTCCCCGCGTATCATTATCAAGAAATGTAACTACGACTTCTTGTACTAATTTCTTCAGGTGTAGATCTACTTGTTGTTAATAGATCGGTAAGGGCATTATTCTAATATATAACTCTTCTATATAGTTCATTAATATGTGAGAGCTCATTAGTTTATCCCACATATATCTATCTGAATGATCAGTCTCAAATGATGAGGAAGAATCGGTAATAGACCGAAAACCATCCAGTCTGGCTCTATATTTGTTCGAATAAAATGCTTAGTCAATTTCACGCATCTAACCAAAAAGTCCTTTCTTATTCCAACTTTTCAATCCTCCCATTCATTTACCACCCTTCTCCCCCCAATTATTCTAATTCTACCAACGAATTTCCACCAATAAGTATTAGAAAAGTTGAAGAAATTGCGAATACATTGACTTTACACGAGCAATGTTATGATCCTATTACAAAAAAAACCTCATAGCAATTGAACGGGAAATTAATGTGTAGCTTATATAACAGTAACAATGTTTGGATATTAGTACTACTTAGTTGCATTTATAAAAGAGGACATAAAAAGCACATATGGGCCAACGATTGTTTAGGCTGGATAGAACCATTGAAAATTATCACATATTACCGTAAATATCACATTCAGATAATATAATTATGACAACCATTTGATCTCCTTGCAAAAATAATCACTAGATTTCATAAAACAGGACATTTCTTAATTAACTTGAATATAAATTTATGAAACTCAGTATCCCAATAAAGTTCAATCTCATCACCAACACTCGGTCCACGATTTCTGAACAAACGCTCACAAACAAGTGCATAGTCCTCACCTGTTATCTTCTTTTCAACATAAGCACCTGTATCATTTATTTGATGGTTCTCTTCAGTAACATCAATTAACCGAACACATTGCCTGTTCCCACCCCCTTTCATTACAAGCTCGACCATTTCCTCCATCCAATATCGAAAAATATGTTGAAAAACGAATGCAAATGGCAGCAACAATATCTTCGCAAATTTCTCACCAGGGCTAACCACCTTCTTCAGCTTCCAGGGGGCTTGAACCCCAACAGGTTAAGAGCCGATGTTCGTCTTCTTAATAGTAATTATAGAGAAATGTGTTTGATGAATTTTTACAATGTTGAGGGAAAAAAGGGTTGGAATTTATAGGAAAGTTTTGGTATATGGCACTATAATTATTTTTCTAAAAAAGCTTGGTTTCACATAATGAAGATCAGATTACTGTG